AGGGCAAGATATTCTTCTCAGGAATGGCACGCAGGCTAACACAGTATTTGATGGCGAACAAATACATCGATGCTACTGTTCAAAAAGGCTGAATCCCGGGCGTTTCCCGGTGCTTTGAACACGCGACTATGATTTGGGATTCTTTTCAGAAGCTAAGGCAGAGAGAACCAAATTGAACGTGATATGGTTGGACCTCGCCAACGACTATGGGGCAGTACCACATAAGCTACTGTGGCAGGCCCTTCGCATGTTCCACGTGCCGACACTGAAATGATCGAGCAATATTTCTCAAAGTTCGCCATACGTTTCTCTTCCTCCATGTTTACTATGAGATGGACTTAGCTCCAGGTTGGGATAGCAATGGAATGTACGATCTCGCCGATACAGTTCGTTATGACCATGCGGTTATGTCAGACGGGGCTACCGGCTACGGGCAAGGTCTTCAGATTGGGGACCACTGGATGCCGCCATTGCGTGCTTTTATGGATGACACAACTATCGTAACGGCAGTGAGTGAAATGCCCGCACGATTCTGACAGTTTGGACAGCGTTGTCGATTGGTGTGGAATGCAGTTTAAGCGGCAGAAATCAAGAAGTTTGCCAAACCTCACAAGTAAGGTTGCGGAAGACAGTTTCACGGTGGCAAAGAATCGGATCTTCATGGTTCTGTTAGAACCGATGAAGAACCTCGGCCGCGTCTACGATTCGAAGTTATTTGATAGAGCGGAAGTCCAGCGCCTACATGTGTCACCGACTACAGGCTTGCTCGCGATTTAGCGCTGCGGGTTAATCAGGAAGTTCAAGGTATGGTGTCTCCAGTTTGTGTTGTTTCCAAAGCTACTCTGGCCGTTGCTCGAGTGCGAAGTTAGCATGACGGCAGTGGAAACGATGGAGCGGAAAATCAACACAGCCATGAGGAAATGGCTTGGGGCACCGCCTTGTCTGACCTATGTGGCTCTATATTGCAAGCAGGCTAAGCTGGTACTTTCGTTCAAGTCAGTAACCGATGAGTTTAAAGTCGGCAAGGTAAGACCCGCGATGATGATGCGCGAGTCTTTAGACCCCACGATGGCAGCTGTCCCTAGGCCAGGTAAGATATATTTGGCGCCACAGTAAAGTCCTGAAAGAGTTAGCGGACATTGTGGACCAAGCAAAGATGAGGGCCAACGCAATCGCTAGTCCTACCGTTACCCCCATGCGCTTCCTTAAGATTGGGCAGATTTATAAAGATAAAATCAACAAGGTCGCATACTCTCAATCACATCTTAACTGTGCATGGGGCTGGTTACTGGCTGTCGACCTGCCTGGTTTCGAAAGGCATCCAGAGTCAATTCGTAATATCCGTCTGAGACCTGACATATACGTAAAATCGAGGCCTGGCTTCATGACCCAGGTTGGCCCACCTTCCAAGATTCTATAGAAAGTAATGGGCCGACACAATCGTCGACGAGAGATCTTTCTATGGATGGTCGGTGGACCCCTGCTGCACATGTTTCCCTGTGTTCGTCTTACTTTTTGAGTCTAGCTTTAAATGCCCGTTATGTCACTGATGCAGACAGGGTTCTTTACTTTTTCAACTCAAGTTTGAACTCAAGTTCTCACATCATTTCCATTTCTTCCTCAATAATCTGGAAGACGCACATTCATTAAAAATATTCCTCCTCATTCAATCTGAGTCAAGCACTAGCAGAAAATGTTCTGGGGGAAGTGAAAGCGTTTGGAGAGATAATAATTCTATCTCTTGTCGTGTGCCGATCGGTCTGAAAATAAGGGCTAGCACAAAATTCCAGAGTTAAAAAGAGCCTTAGATTATACTTTATTTTACAGGTCTATATATTTGTCTGACCCGTCTGGTCTGCCGTTTGGTATGTCTGTTTGTCTAGCCAGTCTGGTCTACCTGTCTGTTCTGTCTGGTCTGTCTTTCTGGTCTGTCTTCGATTAAGTAAAGAGTTGATCTTTGATCAGATACTAGAGTAAGTTGTAAGTATTCTAGGCCACGAAAAAAAAAAGGATGGCTGATCAATTCTTGCAGTCTTCGTCTTTCGTTGTCAGACAATGCCCGTGAATAATGAAGACCTATTTGCATTGAGTCGTGGTGGCTAAATGGGATCCTCGCTTACCAACCAAGGCTGTCGTCTGATTTCAATTTCCTAGCAGAGACCGTAAATCCCATCCAACTGCGCCCTAGATTCACTACAGTTCAGCAAAGGATAAGCATGGTTTGTGAGTTTTCAATGTTATGTCTCACCAACACACGGCGGTGAAAATAGGGATGACTGCAGTCAGGCTAAATGCAAAATATCATGTTAACAAAGATTCCGCCTGAAACGTCGATTTGAGTTGTTTTGTGCTCGTATTTTTCTGCTTTTCATTTCGTTAAGCTGTTTAATCACTGTTCACTGGATTTATTACCAACAACGTACCAGATATCACCCCCACCCCACCCCCCCCACCCCCATCTTATTTTGCGCTGATGTGTTATAAAATATCCGGTGTGGATTCGAACCCCTGATTCTCATGTCGGTAGGCAAGTGTCTAGTTACTGAGCTACTGCGGCTACTATAATTTACCAGCAATCAATAATCGTATATTGGGTGCTTGAGTGCTGCATGAGTTAAACCGGCTTATTAAGTTTCGCTACCCTTGCACACAGAAATAATGAAGTCTTTCTTGCCTGAAACCTGAGACTTGCCATTGTGACAAAGGCATTTATGACTTGACGATGCATTCTCTGCCTCTTGACGAGAACAAAGCTCAAGCGGTGTTGTATTTCTTTTTTTTTTTCAACCAAGTGAACATTGTCCATTTCATACATAATGATCTTAATGGAAAGGTTACGTACTGGTATAATGTGTGCTTCAGGGGACTTGATATCAAAAATAGCTCTGGGGAGGAAATAGAACTCAGACTGCAGTGAAAATTTGATAGGTGGAGAAATGCAATAACGCAATGCATATTCCTTTTTCCTGACAAGTTCTTAGTCTTCCGCGCTATATATATATATATATATATATATATATATATATATATATATATATATATATAGAGAGAGAGAGAGAGAGAGAGAGAGAGAGACAGACAGAGAGAGATGCAACGTGGTTAAGAGCTGAGCGTCTGAGAAAAAGTACGTTAGATATCTGCTAAAATACCAAGGAAAAAGGTACCAATTCTGAATACGGGAATCATACGTGAGAAATATAGAGAGTACAAGACAGATTTCCATAGACGTTTCATGTGCTGCAGCATGGCCTTTGACTGTATTTAACGCCAAACACTGTGCATTATATATAATGTAAAAAAAAAAACATTTAGTTTTTATTTGGCTTTATTGGCGGTGTGTGAAAAAAAGGACACCGATGAGAGATCATCCCATTTTAACTTGCCGTCCTTATAAGGACGACATTTTTCGTTATTTGAAGCCCCACCCTGGCTCTTGCCAGGGGCCGCAATATAGCCAGGCCATAAATATGGCCAATTTGCTGAACGAGGTTTCTGGGACCTCTCCACGGTGATCCTCATCTACATTGTTGCACTTTGTGTCATCGGATATCTATCGCTTGTGTGATGTCCTAGTGGGGTTAGAAAGTCAGTTAGTCAGTCAAAAATACACCGATTCAAAGCATGCGATTTGTATGTTTACACGTTAATGGCGTGACACAAACTTTGTAAAACATCAGATAGCATGCGTTTTAGGGGTAAACCGTGACGGGTTGGAAGGGAGGCACACTTTTCTAAATTGAGAGGTCAGTTACTGTGTATTTAGTTTTTAGGAATGCACAAGTGATTAGTGCGACAGAGACCAAAGAAATCCCCCGCGTTAAGACAACAGCTTCTCCTGTGGAATTGTAAATTGTGAATACGTAAAACATGGAAACTCTTAAACCACATCCAACAGAAATAAAGTAAAGTAAAGTAAAGTCGGGAGATGTGAACCAACGTCATTGCACACGGTTATAAACCATAAGTACTCTGCCACCAGTCCGGACGGCTGATAAGAATTGTCCGCCTGTGTCGCCGTTCGCAAGTAACTCTGTAGCTACTGCGATGTTCCTCCATTTACCCCAAAGTGTTAACTCTGGTACCCATTGCCTAGAGGCTGGGTGAAGCCCGGGAACCGCCCACGGACGCAACTCAGTAGCTGGCAGACGTAACCGGATTCCGCCTCTATCTTGTTTGTTGTCCCGTCCCGTCTCCGGCTGGGGGTTCAAATATTCCTTTGGATTACTGAGAAAAACAGGGTCCACCATATGAAGGTATTGTAAGTTTGAGCAAGAGAGGCTAAGACCCATTTAGAGTCTTCTAGTGTGCATCGCTGCTCCACCAGGATCGTAACAGCTATCTACCATGTAAAGCTAATATGAAGCGAGTCTCTATTGTGGAAGGCCAGGACAAGACAGTCTGACGCTAACATTGAATAAACAGCTATCGCATCAAGTCAGTACTGAACTAAATAAAAGCCGTTGGTTGCATAAAGTCAATGTATAGCAAAGAAACTTAAAAACAACATAGAAAAGCTGCTAGTCTTAAGTGATTATAGATTAAACAGCTTTCATCTAAAGTCGATATCGATCAAAGATCTCTAATGTGAAGTTAACGTTCAAATGTGTTTTTATTTTTCAACGTTACTTGCAGCACTGCTCATTGTTTTCACTGTTTTCCTTTCAGATTTCCTGCCAGTACAATAAGAGTGACTCAAGCTGATATAATAACTTGTACCGACAATGTCAACTTCACTTCTAACATGAAAAATCGAAATTTTCTAAGAATCAATAGTAATCACATTATTCGGTATATAGTGTGTGTGAATTACTCTTGTGCTATCAAGCTGTGATAACTTTAAAAAAAAATTACTGGGTTGTTTAGGGATGCAAACTATGTGATGATGAATGCACATTAAGTTATGACGAATTAACACAGTGTAATGATGAAAACACACTATATAAGAATCAAACGACGTGAGTAAACTCGCCGTTTCCACACACATACACACAAACACTGCAATGGGTACTTTGACAGAAGAGAGCGTTGGACAATATTTAAAAGAAAACCCTGGCTTCTTGGCGTCCTGGTTTGTTGACCACGCAGACGATGATACTCTTAAAATACTAGCCAGGAAGCTCAAACAGGATGCCATCTCACTGAGAAACAGCAGATCACCACTACCCCCAGAGAGCGGACTTTCAGCAGTCGAGGAAAGAGCGGATTCGCCACGATCTTCTTCTGAAGATTCTTTGTCAACGGACCAGAGTGAAGTGAAAAAAATTCAGAATTATACGACTTTCTCCAAAGTTGGCAGAAACTCAATCACCAGCATGATATTTCGAAAATACCTCGACGGAGATAGAACGCGACGGGCAAGTGTCAAGAAAGATTTAGACGACCTTCGAAGGATGTCTGAGGAGGAATTATTCATGGAGCTCATCAGAGACATCGCTAGTGAGCTTGATGTTACAGTTCTCTGCCACAAAATTCTTCAGGTAAGGCAATGTGTACCGAATAACTGTGTTCTTTCTCTGCCACACAATTCTTTAGGTAAGGCAATGTGTACCAGTTAACTGTGTTCTTTCTCTGCCACAAAAATATTTAGGTAAAGCAGTGTGTTCAACTTAACTGTGTTCTTTCTCACTATACAATTCTTCGGGTGAGGAAATGTGAACCAATTAATTGTTTTCTTTTTCTGCCACAAAATCCTTCAGGTAAGGCAATGTGTACCAGTTAACTGTGTTCTTTCTCTGCCACAAAATTCTTTAGGTAAGGCAATGTGTACCAGTTAACTGTGTTCTTTCTTTGCCACAAAAGTCTTCAGGTAAAGCAGTGTATACCAGTTAACTGTGTTTTTTCTCTGCCACAAAATTCTTAAGGTAAAGCAGTGTATACCAGTTAACTGTGTTTTTTCTCTGCCACAAAATTCTTAAGGTAAAGCAGTGTATACAAGTTAACTGTGTTTTTTCTCTGCCACAAAATTCCTCAGGTAAAGCAATGTGAACCGAATAACTGGGTTCTTTCTCTGCCACAAAATTCTTTAGGTAAAGCAGTGTGTTCAACTTAACTGTGTTCTTTCTCACTATACAATTCTTCGGGTGAGGAAATGTGAACCAATTAATTGTTTTCTTTTTCTGCCACAAAATCCTTCAGGTAAGGCAATGTGTACCAGTTAACTGTGTTCTTTCTCTGCCACAAAATTCTTTAGGTAAGGCAATGTGTACCAGTTAACTGTGTTCTTTCTTTGCCACAAAATTCTTCAGGTAAAGCAGTGTATACCAGTTAACTGTGTTTTTTCTCTGCCACAAAATTCTTAAGGTAAAGCAGTGTATACAAGTTAACTGTGTTTTTTCTCTGCCACAAAATTCTTAAGGTAAAGCAGTGTATACAAGTTAACTGTGTTTTTTCTCTGCCACAAAATTCTTTAGGTAAGGCAATGTGTACCAGTTAACTGTGTTCTTTCTTTGCCACAAAATTCTTCAGGTAAAGCAGTGTATACCAGTTAACTGTGTTTTTTCTCTGCCACAAAATTCTTAAGGTAAAGCAGTGTATACAAGTTAACTGTGTTTTTTCTCTGCCAAAAAATTCCTCAGGTAAAGCAATGTGAACCGAATAACTGGGTTCTTTCTCTGCCACAAAATTCTTTAGGTAAAGCAGTGTGTTCAACTTAACTGTGTTCTTTCTCACTATACAATTCTTCGGGTGAGGAAATGTGAACCAATTAATTGTTTTCTTTTTCTGCCACAAAATCCTTCAGGTAAGGCAATGTGTACCAGTTTACTGTGTTCTTTCTCTGCCACAAAATTCTTCAGGTAAGGTAATTTGTACCAGTTAACTGTGTTCTTTCTCTGCCACAAAATTCTTTAGGTAAAGCAATGTGTACCGAATAACTGTGTTCTTTCTCTGCCACAAAATTCTTTAGGTAAGGCAATGTGTACCAGTTAACTGTGTTCTTTCTTTGCCACAACATTCTTCAGGTAAAGCAGTGTATACCAGTTAACTGTGTTCTTTCTCTGCCACAAAATTCTCCAGGTAAGGCAATGTGTAGCAGTTAACTGTGTTCTTTCTCTGCCACAAAATTCTTCAGGTAAGGCAATGGGAACAAGTTAACTGTGTTCTTTCTCTGCCACAAAATTCTTTAGGTAAGACAATGGGAACAAGTTAATTGTGTTCTTCCTTTGCCACAAAATTCTTCAGGTAAAGCAATGTGTACCAGTTCACTGTGTTCTTTCTCTGCCACAAAATTCTTCAGGTAAGGTAGCGTGTACCAGTTAACTGTGTTCTTTCTCTGCCACAAAATTCTTTAGTTAAGGCAATGTGTACCAGTTAATTGTATTTTAGTTGCGTATCCTTTACATGATGTCACAGAGCCAGACGCAGCATTTTTGACTGTTGTGGGTTTTCTTGGCAAATTAAAGTCCAGTAGTTCGCCCTTGCTTTCTCGACAGTCGGTTCTTGTTGCCACCATCGAACCCAACGCAAGGTGGAATGCTGCCAAATCGCCAGCAGCTGGGATCGAGCCCGGCACCCTGGCATTACGAAGCGCGTTCACAACGCTTACTCCACATACGCTGATAAAGTGTATTCTACCGTCTTAAAATCTATGCTGTTTGATGTTGGTTATCACGTCTGTCTATAGCCTTTCTTGATATGATGCTTCTGAAGTTGAGATGATCGATTTCATTGCACCAGACTGACTGTATCCTGTATAGCTCATTGCCTTACAACATAATGGCTAGCGTCATACCGAGAGCGTCACATAAAGCATGGAATCGTTAACTGAAAGACTTCACCACGGAGACCTACGATTACTTACCGTTATTTTACTGATTGTCCTAAGTGTAACGGACTCCTATGCTTGTCAGACTACTTCTACTACTACTACTACTACTACTACTACTACTACTACTACTACTACTACTACTACTACTACTACTACTACTACTACTACTACTACTACTACTACTACTACTACTACTACTGCTGCTGCTGCTGATGCTGCTGCTGCTGCTACTACTACTACTACTACTGCTGCTGCTGCTACTTCTACTACTACTACTACTACTACTACTACTACTACTACTACTACTACTACTACTACTACTACTACTACTACTACTACTACTACTACTACTACTACTACTACTACTACTAGTACTTCTTCTTCTTCATCTTCTTCTTCTTCTTCTTCTTCTTCTTCTTCTTCTTCTTCTTCTTCTTCTTCTTCTTCTTCTTCTTCTTCTTCTTCTTCTTCTTCTTCTTCTTCTTCTTCTTCTTGGTTGTTCGTCTATTTGGACTTTGGCTTTGTGCCAGGGCCTGAGTTTTGCGTGTATATCTTTTTTTACAGGCTTATTATTTATGTGCAGCTGGTTGCTCCTTGCTGCACAGGCAGATTCACTCCGACTGCAAAGGAAGTCTCCAATTAGTTGACTCCTATGACGTTCTTAAGAAGGGAAAAGGGGTGGGGGGGGGCACTTTATCTATTCTTGTTTTCCTAACAATAGGGTATCGAAACCCACACGTGGAGTCTGCCAGTATAAAATGCAGCGATAACGCGGCTGAAATAACCAGCTTTAAAAACAGCAAACAGCGATATTCGCTATTGTCATGAAAGGATAATGCCATGCACTGCAATGACTGCATTCAGTGGGCCTAAAAATATGGCCGTTATTACTGAAAATAGTATAGAAATATCAGCTATTAACTTAATGGTTTTAAACGTGTGACTACCAGTGTTCTACATCAACATCATTAACAACAACAACAAAAACAACAACTACTACTACTACTACTATTACTACTACTGCTGCTGCTGCTGTTGCTGCTGCTGCTGCTGCTGCTGCTGAACCACTCCACCAAAGTTCAGCTCCCCAAAAGAATGTTGGGTGGAAAGTGGGGTGGGGGGGGGGGGCAATGGACCTGAGCTTCCAGGTGCCGGCACCTATTACATCAGTACTGCTTCACATTAAGTCATTGAGGTCACGGTTTCCCTAACGACGCCAGATGGCGTGACTGTTGAAGGACTGGGGAAATGGTAGCTGTTATTGCCCGTCAGACAAAGGCTTGCTAAAAATGGACAGCACGGAAACTAGGACAGTATGTGATACTGGCGGTACAACTCACGAAAGTCACCTCATTTCATCATCCGCGTGGTTTCCTAGTGGATTTCCCTCCACACTTTTATAGTCTAGGGGGTGTCATGGATTCCTCGCCTTGACCGTTTCAAGCACATCCGCCACCGACGACAGCTCCCCGTCAGCGAACGTAAAAATACCAAAACCTCAATGATTCGATACTCATGAACCGGCTCTCTGTCGGCACTTTCCCCTGCAGCACTTCTTCCTTGCACATTGACACCTGCATCTAAAAAAAAAAAAAAAAATTAAAGTCACCCATAAGTGTCGTCTTCGTCTCTTCTTCCATTTCTGGTGGAAGATGTTTTTCGCCCCTGATACCCCCCCCCCCCTCTTTTTTTTTCTCCCACCCCCACCCCACTTCCATCTCTTCCTTCCAGGAATGCAGTCTAGAGGATTACTATCTCAAGGATAAGAATAAAACAGCTACATGTTATGGAAGCCCCTGCTCAACAGTTTGACCATACAGCACAGTTTTAGTGGAGCATCACAAAACAGTAAGAAGTAACCTGTAGTCTAGCCTAAGAATGTGATGATCTCATCCTGGATCGAAAATCGACAAGGCCAATCCCAGATACCTCATTCAACCCTTGAAGAAGCTATAATTAGAGCCCTCGTCGCGGCCTCACTTGCTTAGTGGGATCTGCAGACATGTGTGGTTAAAGAATGATTTATGCAACACTGCAGTGTAAAGCAAAGGTAATGACAGTGACCAAACATTTAGAAAACATTTAAAACTGAGGTTTGAGGTTTGAACAACAGATCAACATCATGGCACACAGGTAGTAACCCGTAATTGCTCCGTTCTTCTTCTAAGTCAAGTCTGAGTCCGAAGAAGCTCAGCACAATACACAGGTTCTGTAGCACCGGCGAGGACCCTGAAATACTTTGGGTAGATTTTAAAATCCACATTTTGCCCTGGCAGCGCCGTTAGGCTACTCTTTTTCGATTTCCACGGGATTTTTTACGTGCGCAGCAATGCACACAGAGACCAGAGGAAATTACTAGAAGTCCAAGCCCACGTGATAAAATTCCAGCCCTTATCAGGAATGGAGCCCGGAACCTCTAGCACTCGAGGCGGACACCATGTCTCGAGATCACGCAGCCAAGCCTGGATCCACCAGCGAGTGAACCCACTATCCGCATGCGAGCGTCTAGCCGCTAGACTAAGGCTACTCACATTTGAAAACAAATGGCGCCATCTCCACAATACAGGTTAGTCTCAATGTATCCACTTACAGCTATGTGAATGTTATGTTATGTTATGAGGCCCCTAATCTCTTTCAAGGTGGGACTCTTGTACGACTTGCGAAAGCTAAGAGATTTGTCGTTTTCTAAGCCGTCAAGTGCTGGAATCGAAA